AAAATACATAAAAATCACAGCAGTCACGGTGTTTATGTGAGCTCCTGTTGCTCCACGCTCTGCTGCGTGATGGATCGTCACGCACAGAGGAAGGGTTACTGAAAACACGAACCCCCCTTCATCCACACACACACACACACACACACTGCTAACATGATGTCATCAACCAAGGTCACGTCCAACCTCCTCCACCCCCAAAAACACACAAAACCCTCTCTGAGTTCAAACCTTCATATGAGGACATTTTGTCATTAAACTGCTGGTTCAGATTATAATTCTTCATCTGCGTATCTCCAGATGTATTGAATGTTTGTAATAAACTGAAGAGTTTCTTTATGTGTCGAGGAAATTTCTTCTCAAGCTGAATAAACTACCTAAAAAGCCTCTTGGGTGAGCTGGAGAATGCATCGTCACAAAGCTGAAAGTATACTTTTACTTAAGTACGGTTTTGAATGCAGTACTTTTACATCAGTAAAGGATCCTAATACTTCTTCCACCACTGATTACCGCTCAGAAGGCCTCACCCTTCCTCAGCTTGGCGTCTTGATGTCGGATTCGGTGTTTGTTGAAAAATTAAATCTGTTTAGGCCACGCCCCCCTCCCACTAACGAGCTAAGCTAATTGAAGTGAATCTGACGGTGAGTGTGTGAGCTGCTGCAGGCGAACGCTCTCATTAACCTGATTGATACACACTTTCCTCACAGCCACAGATTACATGTCGCTGTGAGTCATTAGTCCGTCCTCTGGGCAGGAGAAATGAATCTGACCTCAGACCTGCCGTTGGGAGAACATGAAGAATGGATGAAGACTTTCAAACTGTGCTTTCACTGAGACCTTCAATCAGTTTGATGTCCGACTGCCTCTTTACGTTTTGCTGTGACAAAACGGATTTCAATTTGGAGGAAATATTCAGATCTTTTACTTCATCAAAAGTACTAATACCACACTGAAAAACTTAACTTACTTAAGTTAAAGTAGGTAAGTATTATCAGCAGATTACTTAAAGTATGAAAAGTAAAAGTACTTATTGTGCAGTAAAATGTTCCCATTAGTGTTTGACTATTATATCTGATGTTTCTGGATTAATATCACTGCTGTATTAATGTGTATGTTGAATTTTATCTCCTTTATATCCTGTTTAGTTTAATCTACATCAAAGCATCTTATTCTATAAGATCATCACGTGTTTGTAGCGTCTCTGTCCTGTGAGAACCTCGTATCTCTAGAAAGAACAAACAACCTGTTTTCAGCTTTGTTCTGAAGCATCTTCCAGCTGATCCACGAGGCTTTTTAAAGAGTTTATTCATCTGAAGAAGTAGGAGGATTTTATCAACACATAAAGGAACATTTCCTCCTTCAGTTCATCACAAACATTCAACATCAACACATCTGGAATCATCAATAATCTTTCCTTATATTTTATCTGATTCTGTATTTCTGTATTTTTTGGTCTACCACACGTTCGTCCACAGCTTTGCTCAGTTGTCATGAAATTGTAGGCGATGATGGTAGAAAACTCCATCCGCCTTAAAGATCTTTTAATACGACCGAAAGCTCCAGAATAGCTGATGAAGGGACCTATTGTGTTCACCTTTCATATATCTGTATTTTTAACTTCTATTCTTTGTATGAAAACTGAAAAAATCTAGAGCAAATTCAATTTCTGGCGTTTACATTTTTATTTCATTTATTCAACTAATTTTCTATTTTTTTAATATCCTTAATTTTATTTCTTTATGCAATTCTATTTTTATGGTATTAGTTTTATATATTTATTCTCATTCAGCTTTTTATGTAACTAGTTTCTTTTTAAATCAGTTTTTAGACCATATTATAGTTTTATGCTAATATGAAAAACATCTACATGAGGAACAACAAAATATTACTACTACTACTACTTACTACTACTACTACTACAACCCCTAATACTACTACTAATAACCTGAAGACAACAGGCCCCGAGTCTTTAAATGACCTGCATGTTCAGGTGAACAGATGACGATAGTCTTTCATGAACGAGGTCGACTTCCTGTCCACCAGGTCGAAGTCCCCCGTCGAGGTAAACTGACCCTTCCCTCCCTTCCTCCCCCACCCTCGTCTCCCCCACCTTACCTCCTCCACTTCCTCCCGCAAGGTAACCATGATCCTCCCCTCCCCGAGTCTCTGGATCCTCTGTCCGACACTGAATACCTTCCCCCTTTTGCCCCGCACATGGCGAAACACATTTAATCCCTCCCGAAGCAAGCATTTAATTAAAGGCAATAAATTATCCAACTTTGTGTTCAGCTCCCCCGGATCCCACGGACCTGGAGGACGAACAGAGAGGGTTTCAGGAGGAGGCCGGTGAGCTCATGGCGCCTGTTGTTTTAAAGCAGAGTATTGATGGACCGACAGGTCACAGGTCCAGACCTGGAGGAGGCGGATTAATGTCTCCTCGGAATTTTTGGGGTCTGCTCGACCCAACGTTTGTGACTCGAGTCCACATTAGGAGTTTGTTTAGATAAACCTGGTTACCTCTGTGGGCTCGCTGCCTGCAGCCAGAGAGGGTCATCTCCTGGGCACCAGAGCCCACAGGAGCTCCTCGGGACCAATTCATCTCCATCTGAACGTCTCTGCTGCATTCTTTCCTGCTGAGAGAATACACACACACAGACACACAGATTACAAACACCCGTACGGAGAAACTGACTGACTCCCCTTCGCACAACTCACAATATTCAACATGAAATATCAGGGGTTTCCCAGGGAATCTGCAGACAGGACGCGTCTTCATACTGGCTGCGGATTCTTTTTTCGATTTTCAGAATCAGAATTAGAATCAGCTTACGCATACATGGAATTTGTCTCCGGTTTCCACTCCGCTCTCAATGTACAAACACAAATTTACAATAAACAAGACAATATATATATAAAGAATAAAAAAGGGCAACAAAAAAGTAGAACGGATTATTCGACAGTCAAGATTTAATTGAATCCAGAGAGTAGAAAATGTCAGCGGCTGTTTCACAAAATCATCCACTCGACGTTTGACTTTTGGATGACAAAGTTAAAGGAGAACTCCACCAATTTAACAGACGAAGCTGAGTTTACTCATCACGGTTTGTTCTACTTGAGCCTGTGAACTGTGCTGGAGGAAGTACTGAGATGTTTTGAGTTAAAGTATAGCAATGCCACATTGCAAAAAATACTCCATTTACTAGAAGTGTTGGAAGCTAAAGTATCAACAGTAAAAGCACTCATGCAACATGGGACCATTCAGAGTGCTATTCTGGAATATGACGATAATATGTGTATGGCTCCACATCACCAGCCAAGCGTCATCAGTGGCTTCAAAATAAACACGTCAACATCTTCACACTTTGCACAACTCATCCTTAATATGGATTCGTATTTACAATGTTCTGTTAGAAGGACTCATGTGTTACACTCACCGACCAAATATACTCAGAAGTCTGCTGTTGCTCAACCGGATAGCGACATGAAAGACTCGACGCATTGGATTGTGGGATTGTTAGCAGAAATGAGACATTTTGTTCTGTTGAGGGAACTTTATATACTCTACATCAACACTCAGATTTCAGACATTCACATAAAAGTAAACGGTGACTTTACAGCGGAGGTGGAGGAAGTATTCAGACACTAAAGTAAAAGTACTGATACCACACTGTAAAAAGTAAAAGTCCTGCATTAAAGATATTTACTTAAGTAAAAGTATGCAAGTACAACCAGGAACAACTGATTAAAAAGTATTAAAATGTCCCTGTGACAGTTATGTTATTATGTATTATATCATTAGATTATTATCACTCCTCGTATTGTAGTTAGTTGAGGTGGAGCTCATTTTGAAATATTAACTAATGATTATTTTCACGATGGGTTAATCTGATTATTTTCTCCATTAATCGATTATTTGGTTTGTGAAAATAGTGAAAAAAGCGAGAAACGCGTCACAATAACTCAGAGCTCAAAGTGACAACGTCACAATGTTTGTTTTGTCTAAACCGCAACATTATTAATAACACATTAACATTTTCTAACATTATTAAAAAGGGAAGAACAGCAAATCTTCACATATGAGAAGCTGGAACCATGAAATGTTTTACAAGGAAAAATGACCTAAATCGTCAAAATAGCTGCAGATGAAGTTTGTTATATGTCAGTCAGTAACTGACGACCTTTATAATAAATCGGTTTATTTTATTATCAGTAGGCATAACATGAACTTTGACCCCATTAGACAGATACTGAAGGCTGAAAAGTTATCAAAATATTCTTAGTAAATAAACTTTTCCCATGTCTTATGTGTTTATCTAATATAAATAACTGTAATAAATGACCTGCCTGCAGTTCACTGCCAGAGTGATTTGTGGGAAATCACATCAGTTTACAAACTTTCTCACATTACGATGTTCCTGTTTATCGTCTCCGTCTCCAGAGACCGTCTTCAGTACCACATGACGTCTCATCTTTTTAATTTTTTATTCTTTCTCAAGCTGCCTAGCTAATCGCACGTTTAGCTTTTAAATTTAAAAAAATTAAAAATAAAATGGAGATGAAGGCAGTTTCCACAATCCCCTAAAGAGGGCAGTGAAACATGGGAGTTGAAGCTGCCGCCTGTCAGTCAGCTCAGAGAGGAGCAGAGGGACAAGAGCAGCACCGAGGACACACGTGTTGTTTTCTGCTTCGAAAATAACCTCCAGTTCAAAATAAATATCATAAAATACCGTTAAACTCAACAGAAATAGTTCTGTTTCCTGCAGCCGGCTGAATGCCCGCACTCTCCTCAACTCCCTGCTCCAAATTAGTAATTGATTTTAAGAGGAAGATAAATGATCTCTTTTGTGGCCGCCAGCTTTGAAATGAGGTGTATCTAGGAAACTCCCAGCGGATTGGGAGAGCACCTCCATTGAGGGGGCCAACTGGAGCGTGAGGGGGAACTAATCTCTCCATTTAAGAGTTTGGAGCAGATTTACGTAAATCGCCTTTTTTTCTCTCCTCCTCCTCCTCCTGCTCCTCAGTCAAATTCCCGAGGAAGAGTTGCAACAGAATGTGCGGCTTCTGCCGGACTAAAGGCTAGAAAAGCTCCCTCAGGTCTGCACATGTACGCTGTGTGAAGCGACTGTTCTGTGGGATTATGTTCAGGCTGAATATGCCAGAAAAGGCCGAGCGAGCCGGCTGCTGTTTTCCTCTTCAAGCCAGAGTGACTCTCACAAAATTACACATGAAGTTGAAGTTGTAATTTTAGTTCCCCCCTCACCCTCAGTTCCTGCTGAAGGTCTTTTGGCCTTCTCCCCACTCAAAGAATCCACCGGCTCCCCAGTGTGTTGATTTAAGGTGAATTTAACAGAGTTGCCGTGTTGGCACTCAGGAATGGAAAATAAATGAAATGGTGACTAATAGTTTCATATTCATAGATTAAAAGTTTTCTACTCGCGCCTGAGCCTGGAAGAATATATTTTCATTAAAGTAGCAGAAAAAATACTCATTTAGAAGTAAAAATGAAGTAAAGGAAACAAGGATTAGCAGCTAAATATACTCAAGTATCCACAGTACTTTTGTAATGTGAAGATAGAGTTCAGCTCTGTTGTCAGATTTATTTATAAGTGTCCAGATCAAAGAAAAAGGTTAAAGGTTAAAGAAGGGACAGAAACAAGGATACAGAGAAGTAGAAAGGAAAGAAGGAGTTATAGAAGTAAAGATGTCACGCTTTATGTTGACGTTTCTTAGGACATTGAAGCCGGCTACATTTATAGTTTGGTACTAATTCATCGGGAAAAGGAGAAAGTGTTTATAGGTTGAGCAGAAGAGTTTGGTGGTGTTTATAAGCAGCCAAAAATATCTAAAAATGTGTCCACCAAAGATTGGGAAGTTCACGAGCCCAACCTGAAAACCTTGAAGCACAAATTACAAGTCTATCAGTGACTTTAGTTTGTGTGTTCAACTGAATATTAGCTTGTTAAGATCAAGTGTTTACCAAAAAGTACCGAGCACACAATCTCCTCATTTCAGATCAAATAATTTGACCGTTTCCAGGAGATGTTGTAATAATAATAATAGTCACACACCGGCTTCTTTCCGGGTAATTATTTAGAAAATGAGTAGAAAAGTAAAAGACCCGTAAAATAAAGCGTCACTGAAAGAGGATATTGGATTATGTTTTTAATATAAAATATTTGTCTCCAGTCACTCCAGCTGTCAAATAAATGTTGTCGGGTAAAAAGTAATAATCTCTTATCCTGAAATGTGGAGGAGGAACCCTGGAGATACACAGGTAGGTTTGTTCTTCTGCTGTCACGTGTTTCTACACACCTCACTCCCTCCGTCAATAACGAAATACTTCCACAAATCGAGGAACAAATTTGCGTCACTTTTGTTTTATTATTTTGGAACTCAAGGGTTTGTGGGACTCGAGGGAAGATAGAAGTCTATGAAAAAAAGACAAACACACACAGTGTGAAACGTGAAACAGTACAAGTCCTTTCCTTTAAAACAGTATATTATGCAAAAAAAACAAACAAAAAAAAGGCAGCAGAGCACTTGTAACGACTTGTCTCTCGTCCTCTGAGAGTCCTCGGTAAACAGCGCCCGGTCATGTGACCACTGCCGTCCATCTTTTAAGAGCTTCAGCCTCTTGAGAGAATGGTTTGCTGTCGCGTTTCAAAAGAACGCCTCGAGAAATACAGACATCAGCTTTGCGTCGATATCAGTTCAACTGCTGGAGAGGAGGGGAGGGAAGCTCTGCTGGTGTCAAAATGTCCACTTGAGGCTTCTGTAGTTGTAGTCCAGAGAGGAGAGAGAAGGTTTAAATCTGTTGGAGGACACTCTGGGCTGCTGACATCACAGGAAACCATCAAATCCAGATAAAAAAAGTCCTCCCAAAGTGTCATCATTGAGGAAACACAGCTGTTTATTATTCCTTCCAGGATCTCCATCTGTCCCCGCGGTCTCTTTGTGTTTGTGTGGGATTGTAAACCACATGGCGTCTCCGGCGGCCATCAGGTGTTTTCCTTATCAGGCCAGGTAGATGCCCAGAGGGGAGGGGCTGAGGGGAGGACGGGGTCCTGCTCCGAGGCCTGCGGAGGAGGTCTGCAGACTGGCTGATGGAGTCCTGCAGAGAAAACAGATGGCAACAGGAAGTCAACTCAAAACGAAACAACTGAACATGAAGAGGAGAAACTTGTGTTGGACGGCAAAAGGAAATCAGAAATAGGATCTTTCGGTAAGAGAAAATAGCAATGTCTTAATCGATGTAAGTCACCGTGAGGTCCAGGTCCCGCCTGGATCAGGTACAGAAACATTGATCCGCAATGTCGTAACATAATAAGAGAAGATGGAGCTTCATGGATCCTGAGGGAAATCTACTAAAATGTGTTCAAAGGGAGTCAAAGTCTTAGGATCCAGTTTGGAATCATTTTCCAGAAGAAGCAAATGAGAAAAAAAGGAGGCCAAATGGATGTGGAGTGGTCATTTCCTCGTCTGTGTGTGTGTGTGTGTGTGTGTGTGTCGGCTGTATGCATGGTTGCATCGGATCCCAGCTGACAGGTGTATTGTTTCCCGGGAGCCATAAGCTCAATAATGGCAGAGGGAAGAAAGAAACTCTCTTTAATTGTCTTCGGTCTGAGTGATGTTGCCGTCTGACTGACCACATTTTAGGGAAACCCCCCCCCCCCCCTCAATTTCTAACTCCTCTACACTTCCTCTCTACACATTAACATCCTCTTAATCTCTCCTCCCTTTGCTGCCTTTACTGCCCCCCCCCCTCCCTCCCTCCCTCCTCAACTCCAGATTAATAATGAAAACTGCTTACGGAGTAATTGGACTCCGTGTAATCAAATAAAGAGATGAGAGAGTTCTGCGTCTCTCGCTAATGATCAGTTCGTTAGACCGAATGTGGAGAGGATCTCAGAGGATTAATTGACCTTTAAATCAGATGGAAATGGCTTTAATTAGCGAGGAGGAGCCGCTCTGCCTCCAAGTCGGCCTATTGTTGTTCCTTTGAGCCAACATGGACGAGAAGTAATAAAATAAATAGAAAGATAGACATTTGAATACGACTGAGAGAGATCGTGTGATGTGATCGAAAGCTCCAGAACTGCCACTAAAGAGTCCAATAATTGTCTGTGGTGAGATTCAAAATGCTGTATTACAGTTTTTCTCCATTTAATACACGTGGATTTGAACTTTGTACACAAACTTCAAGCTCATGAATTATCAAAAACACTCAATTCCTTTGTTTGCATTTAAATACAACGTCTAAAATCAAAAATCACACAATAAACAAAGTAAAAAATTAATTCAACTGATTGCATTATTGGTATTTAAAAAAAAATCGTATAGAAATATCACAATAGTATATTTAATGTGAATTCTTTAGGCCATGATATCAGAGGTATCACTGTCAATGGAAAGAGTTATGAGTCTGAGAAGAAGGGAAGCGAGTTGACGTAAACCACACAGAAAAGAGTTCCAATAAACCAGCTCATGGTGCGTTCTGTGGATTATCCTGGTTAAAAGGGGGAATTTCTTTTTAATGTCTTTTTTAAACGCTATGAGCACCACAAACCACATCCGTTGTATTGTATCGGAGACGCAGACAGATGCTGAGATTATTCTGGAAAAATAGAAATTGTGATGTGGGGGACCTGGACCCTTTAAAACACTTGTCTCACTCACGGTGGTTTCGCGGGACACTGGGCGTGTCCTCTGGCTGCAGCGTGCTGGTGGTGGTGCTACATGTAGTGCCACTGTCCCTCCACGCCCATCCCCACACCACCTAGAGGACCTGCAGGACAAACACAGACACACACAGTTGAACCATGAAGATCTGCATCCAAAGAGAGTTTCGACAGTAATGTCAAAACATTTCAACTGTCAAATCAAGTGCAAAATACAAGGTATTTGTACTTTACTTGCATATTTCCCTTTAAAAGTACTTTATAGTTCTACTGCATCTCAGAGGTAAATATTGTACTTTAAGTACATTGTAGTGGAGTATGTTCACCGTGTGGTATTAGTAATTTTACTGAAGTAAATGATCTGAATACTTCCTTCGGTGGTAAAAACAACATCAATAGAAGGTTTTTCTTTTTCCGTTTGCTAGTGCAGCTTCAAACTCTTTTTTTGTTAATGTTAAATTGTTAATGTTGATGTAATGCAGTATTTCAATAATTCAGTTAAATACCTTTGAAATAAAGAAATATTAAAATGCACACAGTTTACAACTGCATCTCAACAGTCCACCACAACATAAGGTATGAAGTGTGTGTGTGTGTGTGTGTGTGTGTGTGTGTGTTTACCAGGTGGTCTGATTCCCATGTGTGTCTGCCCGTCCATAACGAAGCCTCCCATTGGCTGACCATCTGGGCCGTACGGTCCTGCATGGCCCACTGTGGACAAGAGGGGGGGGGGGGGGGGATTAATCTTTTTAATTATCTTGCTGCCTGCTGTCCCACAGTGATGACATCACTCTCACACTCACACTGTGAGGCTAAGGACGGCCCGACAGCTGCCGTCTATCACATTACTATCTCCTTCACGGAGAGAGATTAAAACACTTTGGTACAGACGGAGAAATCTCAACAACTGGTCACATTTATGTTAACTGTGGCTATTCCTGCTCCGCAGAGGATGAACAACGATGGCTTTGGTGACCCCTGACCTATAGACTATATAAGAAATGGACGTGGTCACTGTGAAGTCACCCGTTGGTTTCATTCATCAGATGAATGAAAGGAGGGAGAAGGCAAGAAACTACAGAAAGCAGAAGTCTGGGGATGCTTTTCTTATTGTCATCAAATCCATGAAAAGACCGAAACCAATAATGACTCTACAAACAAGTGTTGTGTGTGTGTGTCAAAGCCTGGTGTAACTTCTTCCTCTGAGCCACAGAGCGCCATTAAAAACACATCGATGAGCCTCACTGTTGTTCCTTCATCACCATGAACACACACACGCACTGTAGTTTATTTTAACTCAATCACACACACACACACACACACACACACACACACACACAC